GGTTGTTCAGGTGCAGGCAGCCAAGTGGGTCCTGCAAAACCTGCGTGAAACCAATCCACCCGTAGGTATTCCACCCGCCGAGCCCTTCCCAGAATTTGGTCATGACAATCTAGATCCGAACTTGTCTCCCTTAATTGCAGACCTGTCAGCCACAACAGCAGCGTAGGCAGACCTTGCGCCTACACTGTGGTGCAAGACTAGCAGGAGCGGTGGCCAGGGATGGGGGCGTTGAAGTTTGGAAAAAGCAGGGTGCACGGTGTACATCAGAGATTCTGGTGGGCATTCCAAAGCATGATCACTTCAGTTCAATGAGGGTGACTTCTGTTACTGATTTTCGGCTTCAAGCCCCAGGTATAGGTGAGGCGCTTCCGTTCCGCCGCATCATGCTTGCAGGGCAGGCCCAACGAGGTTGATTGTCAGACGCTGCCTAACGTTGCTGTCTGAAGAACAAAAAAATCTTTCCCTGTCCAGTTTATAGACCACCGGAACCGCAGACCGGACCACTGGACGAGCGCATCCATGAGAGGAGGGGAGCAGCGGACCGCGGACCAGCGGACCAGCGGACCAGCGGACCGGCGGACCAGCGGACCGGCGGACGGCGGACCAGCGGACCGGCGGACCAGCGGACAAGCGGACCGGCGGACCAGCGGACCGGCGAACCGGCGGACCGGCGAACCGGCGGACCAGCGACCAGCGGACCGGCGGACCAGCGGACCCGCGGACCGGCGAACCGGCGGACCGGCGGACCGGCGGACCAGCGGACCAGCGGACCAGACAACCGCACGATCATAAGTCGGATTCACGGGGTTTCTCATGCTTGAATGGGCAGTCGCGCCTACTGCACTTTCCTTTGTTCTGAAACTCATAGCAAACACCTTTCGGCTTTTTGTCACTTGGGTCAATGACGGGAGCTGCAGGGTCTTTACCTCCAAGACTACGCTTAGTGGCATCCCTCATCTTTTCCAAACGTTTCCTTTCAAGGTATGCCTTGGCTGACTTGATCAAAAAGTCATAAGTCTTTTCGGCACTCCCTTCCGAGGCGCGTTCGTAGATGGCAAGATCATGAGCTAAAGGCTTAAAGTTCTTCACAGCAAGATGAAAATATGCTTCAAGCCATTTCTTGTCAACTTCCGTTCGCATCCCCGCAATAACAGACTCCCATCGCGTGACAAAACCTTTCAGGTCCTCGTTCACCATCTTAACACATATAAGATCTTCAACATCGTAAATAGCACCGTGTTTGATGGATGTAGCAAAGTACTCATGGAACAACAGTAGAATTTGTCGTCCCTTAATCGGTTCCTTTGCTTTCTCTTTGGTCTCCTTAAACGTGTTCAGTTGGCGAGCAAGGTCCCCCTCCGCACAGTTCGTGAGACTTGAAAGAAGTTTTGCATCCAGCGTGATGAAACCCTCAGAGTCATCCAGGTCCTTAGTGGTCACGGCGTCTTCATAAACCTTACCTAGCCATAACCTGGCCTTGTCCGGCTTAGCGGACGCCGCTGACACATTGTCCCGAACTTTAATTCGCCAATCCCTATACCTTTCAGGTGTAGGAAACTTGGGGATGAGGATCTTCTCAGCCTCTTTGGCCCTCTGTTCACGATCCTCTTTCTTCATTTTCTTCAAATGCTTTCTAACCTTCCGGGCAAAGGATGAATCCTCAGAAGATGAGCTCGACGATGAAGGTGACTCGGACGGTGACGGTGACCTCTTTTTGTTTTTCTTTTTGTTCTTTTTGCGGGGTGATCTGCCACGCTTCTCTTCCTTGTCATCTTTCTTCTTCTTCTTCTTTTTGTCTTTCTTGCTCTTCTTCTTGTCATCGGATGAAGACGAACTCGATGAACTGGGATGATCTGGAGGACCACCTCCAGCTACCTTCGGAGCATTAACCGCTCCGCTCGCAAGAGCATCACGGTAGGGTTCGCCGGAACTATCAGTCATTGATTTCTGCATTGGTCGATATGGTTGACCCAGTGGTAGCTCGTTTGAACCCATTGGACCTGGAAGAGTTGTCCTGAGGTTAGCCGGTGTTCCAGCAGGCTCATAGTTCCCTCGAGCGGATGTTTCCATTTTCTCTCGAAGTTCTCTAATGAGCTCTGTTTGTGTTCTCAACTCTTCCCTCAGCTGCGATTCACGACTCTGTGCTTGTTGTTGTAATTCTGTCAAGTTGTGATTGTATAGTTGAGCTTCAGTCAACGCAGCATTCTTGATGACTGCTTCTTGTGCATTCATCTTAGCTTGCTCGTTTGCAGCCCAAGATGCAGCTCTTCGTTCTTGTAACTCGAGTTGCTCCTTGACATGGTCGTGTGCCTCTCGGTGAATGGCTTCCACTGTCTTTTTCACTTCTTCATCTTTCTTGGACATCAGTTCCCTGTGTCGCGCTTCTGCAAGTTGTGCGACTTCAGCGGACTTGTCCAGGTTGACGTTGATCATTCTTTGATCGTGGAAGTTCGCCGTTTGGTTAATGACTTGTCTCGAATCATTGTATGTACTCGACGGAACAAAGGCAGGGCTCGTGGGAGATAGGATAACAGCACCAGTCGATGTGGCTGGTGGCAACACGTTCCCATGTGCTTCAACCAATGCATCCTCATCATGCTCTGAGGTGAAGACTTCCGTCTGTACATATGACCCATTCTCATCGGCATCACCGACTCTTGACCTCGATCGATCCGTGCCATCTCGAATTGGTTCGAAGGGCCTGTCCGCCATGCCACCTCACGTGTGCGCAGAACGAGGGTGGGTAGGTGACACAGCTAGAATGGCGCGTACCGCTCTTTGGCGATACGGCTGATAACCTGAATTTACAGGCCAACAGCCTACAAGTACCAACATGTAGAGCGCCCTTTTCTTGAGCCAAACATAGAGGTCAATATGGTATGTACAGGTGTACAATCGTGCAAATACATAATAAGTAAGCGCTCAAAAAAGGACTTAACAGTTCCTGGTGTTTTGTGGAAAGCTAGTCTGAAGCAAAGTGATGCTGTCGGTGTTCAAGGCAAATTCATTGCCGGCACTCTTGATGTAAACACACTTTCCTGTTTTCCGCTGCATCCACTAATTCAGCCGCTTCCACCATTTTAGCTGTTTCCGCCATTTCTTTGTCCGTTCTTCTGCCGTTTCCGCCGCAGTGTAGTTCAAATTTCAGACTATGCGACACATCCAAAGTTGCATCCAAGGGATCAAACAGACCTCGCTCTATGTCAAAAAATGATGTTTCCTCTCCATGTTTGATGTTTTATCCGATATTGGTTCTAGGCTAGGTTGTTTGTAGTTCTGGCCACTTCTAGCTTTCACTGGTTATTGGATGAGGCCGATGACTGTTAGTTTGTTGTGCTTTCTTGTTGGAGTTTGGGCTTCGCTCGCTCCAAGACGTTTTCTGAACAAAGGCTCAAGACCAGACATGCGGCCTAACTGTAAAACAGTGCGGGGGTAGACATCGGGACACTCGCCCCCTAATTATAACGCAGTTTTATGAGCTAGACAACTAGACATCCAAATGCGTGCCATTCTGTAAAACACAGATAGGCCACCCCCCACAGGCGGCACAAGTCGTTCTACCCACACTTAGTCCTCTCTCAACAGTATAGCTTTGAAGGGGTGATGAACAAGAGGGGCTCAGCACCCAATCCTGCCTTCAATTTTCTTTGGTTTGATTCGAAAGCATCCGTGAAGTCTTTCCTCATGCACGGCAGAAGCCCCAAGTCGACACGCTGGAAAGCGTACATTAAGCCTGTAGTCCTTCAACTCAGTCAATGTGCCCTATTAGAGTCAAGCCAATAACAAACAGTGCTACTAGTGCCTTACTAGTAGTAACAAGAACGCTACTAGGAACAAGTGCATCGCTACTAGTAACAAGTGCCTTACCAGTAGTAACAAACAGTGCTACTAGTACAAGTCCGAGGGTCGATGAATTTGTTTCTGCACCCGCGGCTGTCTTTGCCAAGTCTGACCAATTGCCGACTTCTTGATTGAAAGGCAACGGAAATTGCTTCAATGCCTCCTTGGCCTTGGTTGCGACCACTCAATAATGAGTTTGGCACCGTGTTTCTTTCCACAACGAATGTACTTACATAAGTGGTATAAGTGGAACATCTAACCCCCGTCAGAACTCTCGGCTTGAATCCCACAAGGTATTCTCGGCAGATCCACATTGGACCATTGAGCCAAGAGTCTGAAGGGGTATTAATACGAAACGCAGCTGGCAGTGGGATGACTTGAATTCTCGTGAGTACATCAACCTTGCCAACCCCGGCTTCTTGCAGCAAGGGAAATAACCTCGGCCCTTGACGATGCTAGACAGCTGAACACTACATTACTGTAGTAATTGCTGCCTGCGGGCTACAGAAACATTTGCAATGACCTCATCAATGACCTTGACAGCTGAAGCCTCCGTTGAGTTCGCCTTAGGCAAGAGGATGAGACATGAGACATCTATGGCTTGCAGCCTACATCAAGGTCCAGCTTGTGGACTCGTATTGGCATCTCAACAATTGGTCACCCCGAACAACTAGATTTTGTACACTCTGACTCACTAACATGGAAGTGGAAAATGGTCCTTGCAGTGACTACAGTACTTTCCTTTACAAACAGGGGGGTTCCCACTTCCATGTTAGTGAGTGGGAGCGTCAAGCTTCCCTGGGTATGGCAGGTCTCATGTTTAATATGTTCGCAGTCGGTGGAAGGCCAGAGCAAACAATGACGGTGAGAACGTCCTTAGCCATAGAATTCAACGCTCTATTGTGAATCTTTTCAATTCCTTTTGCAACCTCAAGCGGCTTCAAGTCTGGCTTTGTCTTGAGAGCTGGGACGCAGTGCCAGGTGAGTGGGCGAAGCATCAATGCGAAAGTGCTAGCTGCATTTTGCTAGCTCAGGTCGCTACGCCACCAGGTTGCTTCTTCAACGCCTCCATCTTTGCAAGCCTGATCAAGCTTGTGAACACCTAGCTGTCACATGAACATCGGTCTTGGCCATGTCATCCAACTATCATATCTACTGATCTACTCCCTCACTGGCTCACTCATTCCAAGACGCATCTTGTCGAGCTCACCCTCTGGGCAGGGCTTGTAAGCTTGACCTCTATAGCTGGGGTCTTTGCCTCGTAAAACAAAGTCAAAGCCAAAAGAAAACCGCATCTTTCGTGTGTGGCACTTGGTGTGTTCGCATCTTTCATGACAAGGATCTTTCTGTAAAGTTCTTGGAAAGGTCATTTTGCGAAGGAATTGCGAGTGGACCTCGGCTGGCCTGGCACACTTGCAGCTAAACATGTAAATGTAGTAGGACAAGAACGCAAAAAGCTAACAAGAATGTGTCCTTTTACAAGAACATGTTGGAAGGGGCCACCATATATCTCTCACTAAAGCCGCTAGAAACAAGATGAAACAAAAATTTCAAATTATCATGGTGGAAAAGTGAGCCTGCCTGCGGTTCCCATACGTTGTGCAAGTGGCTCCACGCCAGCTCACCCTCTGGAAGTTTCAGCAGGGTCAACTCAGTCAAGTGGACGGCCCAACTCTACAAGAACTGCGACAAAGACATGATGCTAGTTCACTTTCTTGTAGTATTCTTGCTTAATCCTGGGTGTTTAGAGGTTTACAGGACCCCTTTTTCAAGGAAAGTTTTCTTTCAAGAAACCTCACTTTGGGCTTTAGGCTCTATTATGTGGAAAAAGCTAGAATCGCAATCGTCATGGCACTTGAGGCTCTGGCAAGGGTCGTTGTGCTGGTGGTGTGCGCAGGACAACTGGATGAATCTGGATTACTGCAATCGCTGGCCTCCCACATAACATCCTGACAAGGTGCTCCACCATACAATTCCTCCTTCTTCACCCGAGTGCGAAACCGAGATCCTTTTCCGCAAGATGTGGAGCAATCGCCCCATGAATCCCAAAGTTCAAAAGTGCAGTCCACTGGGCAGGGCTCCACACTGCACTTTTCAATCTGGGTGCGGTTTCCAACGCAAGGCATCCCACCATTGGCTGCTTCTGCTTTCTTCGTGCGTGATTTGGACCGGGTTCCTCCATTGCAGCTGGCACTACATGGGGCCCATTGTTCCCAGTCATTCCAAGAGCAATCTTGTGCACACACATCAAAGTTGCACCCTGCTTCTTGCATATTGGATCCAAAACAAGGATCTCCTCCGTTCTCAGCCTTTTGTAGCACTTCGCGAAGTCTTTTGATGTATCCACCGCCACACTCCTTCGAACAAGAGGACCAATCTGTCCACTGTCCCCACCGGCAGTCTTGAGGACACCCTTGCGTGCTGCATTCAATTGACTCCGTTTCATTGCCGCTGCATGGGTGTCCACCGTACATCTCAGAAATTCGTGGTCGAGATCGCAACATCTCACCACCTCCGCAAGTCTTTGAACAAACCGAATAATGCGACCATTCTCCCCAAGCGCAGTCTTCCGGGCATGGTTGTTCATTGCAATACTCTGTCCTTAAAACACCTCCGTCGCAAGGTTGGCCGCCCCACTGCGGAGAGGTGATCAATGCCCGACTTGCTGTCCTGCGTTGCTTGGCATGATAGTAGCTTAGGTGGAATAATATTTACTTACAACAAGTTTTTGCAGGATAAGTGGAGCTCGAATGCATTCAACATCTTTCAACGGTGGATGTCCTGTTCCCGGTGCTACAGCTCTTCGAGCACTCACTCCATTCAGACCACTCATCAAATTTGCAGTCCACAGGACATCCATGCGCATTGCAAACCATCTCCTCGCAAGCTTGCTAACCAAGCAATGACTCACATACAGAACGTACTTCCGTACCAGAAGCACACCCATTCGCCACCACACAAGCCCCTAAACCGTATTGCATTTGTTGTTGCTCTGTTTTGTCAAATGCCCACTCCACCTACAAAGCTGATTCCACCTCACCAAGCGCAGTGCACCTCCCATATCCAAGGGCTGCTCTTAAGACCCAAGGTTCGGTGAGCAGGGTTTTTTCTTGCTTATTACCTGTCCCTCGGATAAGAAGAAACGATTGTGCTAGCTGCTAGCTTACAATTCTGAAGTGTTTTCGAATTCACAAGTCTTTGAGGGTAGCTTTGAAGCCTGGCAGTCCAGGGCCATGAGCAGTTTTCAAGCTGTGGCACAATTCAAAAAGTCAGGAAACCATGTGCGCGTAGTGGTGGGAGGCTTGGCTGTGTTCAGTCTTTTGGCAAAACTGCAGCGCCGCACACGTGCGACCCATGCGACTCAAGTAAAGAGCGATGAAAACAAGGACAACGAGTAGCTAGCCACCTTGGTCCAGTCTCGCACTGGCACGAACAAAGCATATTTTGGTGACAGCTGCCCCAAAATAACGATCAGCACAACTATGGTCTGGAGCAACCCAACCTAAACAGTTGGCCACTGCAATTTGGTGCAGGCAGCAAGCGGCAACAAGCACCACACCGTGACAGTTTCAAGCGACAAAGGCATGGCAAGGGGACAATGCAGCAGTCTGACACAAAGGGTCACGCCCCCAAAGTCAAGAATGCCGGGGGCAAGCGGCATAGGCCCCAGATAGAAGGTGTGTGGTGAAAAAATACAAAGCGCTTGAGGGAAAAGATCCCAATGTCTAACACTTTTCGTTGTCAATGAGCGGTGCCAAGGTCATTGTTCACCTTGCCAGGGATGACATCATGTCATGCCAGGGGTGACAGCATGTCATGCCGGGGGTGACATCATGTCATGCCAGGGTGCCAAGTCAGATTGCTAGGATGACCACCTGCACGATAAAAACGAAGCAGTTGAACATCCCATTTGGCGATCTCATCGTCCGTGGGGTTCCTCAGGTTTTGACAAAGCAGACCGAGCACGACGACCACCGCCCATGCCCCAAAGGAACCATGATGAACATGGACGGATGTTCTTGTGTTTCTTCCTCCTCCTGGTCTCCATCCTCAAGGGCCAGGACGAACTTACCGATGTCCTTGTCAGTCACGCGCGCATCGTTCAGGATGAAGAGTTTGCTGAGCCACTTGGCTACGGAGGTCACCATAACTGTTGGGCCCGACAGAACTTCCTCAACCAAGCCACAACGCTTAGGAACCGAGGCGCTCACAACGGCGCTTGGTTTCGAGGTCTTCCATCCTGATCTCCGTGTTGTAGCTCAAAGAAGTCCAGGGGCACCAAAGTGTGCACCTCATAGAGGTCCAAATTCGTTTGGGTTTCTGCACTGTGTAGAACTCATTCACTCATCAGGCTTCCGGCTTGTTGAGGTTGAAGCCGTTGGCCACGTTGACGCGCTGACATTTCAAGCCCTCCTTCTCGCAATACGGCCTTGGCGATCTTCGTAGGTGCCTGGTACTACCACATATACTGCAGTCCTATGTTGGGGTTCTCCACCAGGACCGGTGCGGCGCCAGCTGTCAAGATTTGGCGCTCGTCCGGAGTCATCGAGGCCACCATCGCCATCGCCACGCGGATCTTGTTTGTGATGAAGTGCACGGACATCATCGGGCGCCCGTCGCCGAGGTGGTGTGAAGGCTTGGCCTTGGGTGGACTCGTGACCTTGGGTGGTGCGCCCTGACTTGAGAGAGCTGCCGTCTTCTCCTTGGACGGCTTGAGAACACCATGGACCATCGCGTAATTCGATCTCCGATCTCGACGGCCTTGTTGGAGAGCTCGTGACGTGGCACGCCCTACAGATCCTTCTGAGTGCAAATTGCTCTCAGCAGCCCAAGACACAAAGCTTGACAAACTGTCTCCGAACATGAACTATCAGGACGCAGCTTCAAAACATTAGCATGAGGACTGAAGGAGACATGTTTGTGTGGTTCACGCCCATGTGGATAGACGAACTTGGATACTCAACCAAGTCAATCGCAAAGTGTCCCTTGGGAGAAGAAGCTGGTGACATTTCTGCCCAACTTTTCCCATCAGTGAAATCAATCACCATTCCCACACCCGTGCTCGTCATAGTCTTCAGGACGACACTTAGCTTCTCATTCTTCCTCTGCCTCTCCTGAGGGTCATTGTGGCTGCTGCCTTGGGCAAAGACCGACGAACCAGGGGTGAACAAGCTAGTCTTTGCAAAAAGGTCAACACTCCGCGATCACGATCAAACTCTGCTTGCGGCCAAAACGCTGCTAAGAGCCTCGCCGAACCTTTGAGCCTTGCAATCAACCGAGTTGCTAGACGCCGGCACTGATTGACCTGTGTTGGTTGGACAAGCCAGCAGACCTCCCGACAATAGCCCCAAGGAGCTCACAAGGTAACCAAGGTTCTGAAGAGGACCCAAGGCAAGGGATCACCGTCACAAGGCCTTCACCAGGAAAGCCAAAGCTGGCGTCACAACCCATGTCACTCTGACCAAAAGCTCCCTTCCGTTGAGACAGTGGGAGAAAGGGCAACGCTTGTACACGATGAGGCCTGCGCACATCAACATCCATGAGGCAACCGTTGCCGTGAAACTAATGAAGAAGCTCGCGCTGGAGAAACCTAAGTCCAGGGCAATCTTGGCAATGAATTCCAATGTTAGACTTTCATCGCTCGTGAAAGGCAAATCGCCTTCATATTTTGGCTTCCAGTTTGAGCCCACTCATCTCCTTCCTGCTGATCACCGATCAGAGACAGACAACCCTTTGCTTCGTTGCCTGATGTGTCGAGAAGCTCTATGACCTCAGTCTGAGTCGAGTGGCTTCCAATTGGTTGCGGCTTTTCCTCCACCTATACTCAAACATGAGAAACGGACCAACTCCCACTCAAAAGCAAGCCGTTACATTGCAAAAGGGTCTCTCGAGGTCTCGAAAAGAAGGCTCATCAGTCTGGGCTTTCCTGAGCTTTTTGAGAGGAGCTGCATTGAAAGACTTGCCCGCGGCTTCAGCCAACATGTCAGTGTACGTAGCCGACGCCGTCCATTCGCAAGAAGTTCGTCTTTCTCTTTTCCGCTCGGAGCCATCAGCATGTGGTCATCAGCTGTGCTTGGCCAGCACAGCTGATGACCACATGCTGATGGCTCCGAGAGGAAGAGGGAAAGACAAACTCCTTCTTGCGAATGGCCCCATACATGCAGGAGGTGAGCCAAATTTCTTCGCAGACACCTCTAGCCACCAAAGAAATCCACCCCTCCAACTTCCTCATCTTTGGTCTCCCTGGCTGTTCAAGCAATCCTGGCCCGTCCAAGGGGCCTGCGAGAAACATCAAAACCAGAGCTTGTAGTGCCAGAGTAGTGAGCAACAAAGTCTTTGGGTCCCAGGGCTCATGGCCTCTTGTTTGAGTATAACTTCGGCCAGCTGGATACTGCGCAAGTCCACCATGAAAGAATTGTCGACTCCTGGCAGTAGAGCCACTGGAGGACACGGAGCGAGGATAGGTTACAGTGTGGGGGCCGATCCAAATTCAGAACAGGTCCAACAGTCTAGCCATGAGAAGCCACAGCGCGAGTAATCTTCCCAGATCCTCCACGGACTTCAATGAATAAGTGGTATCTGAAGGCATGAGGTTGTTCTGGATGGAAAAGAGCCTGGTGACCCTCTTCGATCTTGTCCTCAACCATGGCATCAAGCTTCTGATCACAGCTTCTGTTCTTGCAATCATCCGAGCATAGTCCTCCGTTGACTGGACCTCCATAAGAGCTTCACCTTGTCTAGGCACTGGCACCCTTCACATCGGAGGAGTCAGCGGCGAACAATCGTGGAAGCAACACCACTGAAATATCAGTGGAAAACAGCGGGCAGAGAACTGCTGCAAGCAAAACTTCTTCACCTCGAAAGTCAACATAGGGTCGGCGCATCTGCACGACGGAGTCCATGGAGCGCACGCAGTACACCTCAGAAAACAAGGACATAGTATAGGACATCCGTGGGGCATCGCACTGGCAAAACACAGCTCCAGAGAGAATCTGTAGTCCATCTGAGACAAGCCAGTCTGGTCGAGACAAAGGCTAAAGCCAATCTCTTTGTTGCAGGAACTGCAACGCTGACGTCTCCGAGTCTTCTGGCAGTGTCACTACCATCAATCTCGGCCCCATTCCGTCCCAAACATCTTTGTCCGGAGATTCAAGGAGGCCTTCGTCAGCATAGACCTGAGTAGCCAGCAGGCCGGGGAGTTCCGCAATGAGGCACTCTGTCGGCATTGCTCCTCAACTGAAATGGCATAGGAGTCGTCAATGACCAACCCAACCTCTCTCCTCCATAGACGCTGCTTGAGGAAAACTACCAAAGCATGCTTGCGCCCGAGGTCTCTTCACAAGATTGGAAATCCCCATGAGCCAGTCGATTGTATTGCCTTCTTTTCTGGTTTCTCCTGGCCCAATCACCAAGACCTTGGTAGGTCATCCACAAAGTGTCGGAGAGGTGGGGAGACGGGTCCCAAGAAGCGCTTGGGGTCGAGGGGTCTGTAAGGAATGAGCTCTTCAGCTCTCTATCTTGTAAGTCAGGCGCTCCTGGGAAAGCTCTTGAGTATGGATCGCATGCATGGCCTTCACGTGTCAAGAATTCTGACAGATCTTCCAGGGGCGAAATCCAGGGGCGAAACCAACCTACGAGGGAACTAACTTTTCCAGCTCTCACCAACGCCCGGAGATGGTCAAATTTTAAAGCCTTCACCTGAGCT